ATGCATGAAAATAAAAATAACTACCTTATATTATCTGCTTCCTTACTGATTATATAGTTTTTAAACATTGTTTTTTATAACTTTTTCAAATACTTTTCCATTCTGTGCAGAGACCATGCAGGAGGATAACTTCCAGGAATACAAGGGCCAAATGCATATGTCCATTGATATCTCCCCAGAAGTTCACAAAGTACCAGGCACTTGGCTTGCACTCAGTATTTATAGAGTTAGGGATTTTTGGGGGGTTAAATGATGGCACCCTAATTTGACTGATTAGACCACGAGTGAGTTGATTCGTATCTGAAATCCCAACTTCATGTTACTGTACTGCTGATGATTTATTTTGTACTTCTCCCTCTTGGTTTACTAATTCCCTCTGTATTATTATTATCATCATCATTATTATTATTATTGTATTTTCCTCTTAACAACCATTGCCTTTTCTCTTTTCTCTGCCTGTCATATGTTTCCCAAGATTTTCAAGTGGATTATAATTTCTTCTCAATGAACTCTCATTTACCCTCTTTTATTCATGGTTCACCTTTGTATACGAAATTGCCTGATTTGTTTAAGCATTTATCTGCTCATTTTAACCTTTGACTAATGGAACTTCTTCATTGTGTTCGTCCCCATCTTCCCAAAATCAAGAACAACAGGGCCTCCCCTAGTGGCGCAGCGGTTGAGCGCTGGGTTGCGAAGCTGCCCGCAGCCTCTGCAGCACCAGTTCGATCCCCGGCCCTCGGGTGAGGGTCCCACATGGCGCGCAGACCTCTCCTGCCGCCCGCTGCTCCCCGGTCCTTCTGCCTGCTCTGCTCCCCACTCTGGCTCTAGTGAGTTCTCTCATCCTCCCGCGCACTTACTCTACCCAGTGCTTGTATAAATAAATTAAATAAATAAATGAATAAATAAATCTTTAAAAAAATCAAGAACAACATCTGGTTTTCGTTATTTACTTGGTATTTATACATATTTCAAATTCTCTATGTAAAAGCACACATCATCCCATCTAATAACCGATTCTCAAAGCTTACCGTAGAGATTGTCCACACCTCCACATGCTTGAAGACATCACTAATTCAGATACCTTTCACGTCACGTTCCTAAATGACGATACAAAATGGATGCAAACACCCTTTTCTTGCTCTTGCTCTCGTGAATTCAACCTCACTTTACCGGGTCTTGTAAAATCTACAATTCCAGTGAGTGGGAAGAGAGACCTCTTTTTATGAGGCAGAGCTCAGAATTGTCCTAAACTGCCTGACACTTTATATGTCTATTTCCAAAAATGTTATCTATCTTACTGGAATTCTCAGGTGAAAGAAAGAATTCTCATCATGTGATAACCACAGAACAACTATATGGGGGGTGGGGGGAGTGGGGGTTGGGGGGGAGCTGCTCAGCTTCTCTTCTGTCTATGCTGTCCTGTGCCTTAGCAGGTGAGAACAAGGCACTAACCGGTCTTTGCCTTGGTTGAGTTTTCCATTTTCCAAGTGGAAATCACAGAACTTAGCTGAAATGACAGAAGACTGTACATGAAGAGATTTTAGAGCAGGTAGAAAAAAAAAAAACAGTTAATTGCATTTGGAACAAATCTGACTGACTAAATGAGTATTATGTGCTGAGCATTATTCTAAATATTTCATGTGTATAAACTCATTAAATCCTTACCAAAATAAATATTTGATTGAGAAATACCGACTACTTCACAAAACATAATTTTAAAAAACCAGTATTCTAGTTATATGAGAATTCCGTCAGAATAAATAAAAATAAAACTGATATGGAAAGGGTAGATTTTACAAAGGGAAGTGGTGAGAGGAAGTGACAAAGGTTTAGGGAGTAGACACAAAATATTTTGCGGGTGACCATCTATGTGAATTGAAGATGCCCTAGCAGAAGGCACTGGCAAATTTCTCAGGGGGGAGAAAAGTATTTGGTAGGTAGGTGCCGAATTATTTTTTTTAAGACTTATTTTTATGTATGCATACAAGAGGTGGGGTACAGGTGAGAGGATTCACCAGAGACAGAGTGGGGAGCAGAACAGGCAGACTGACTGAAATACACTGCCGAGGGGAGCAGCGGACGAGACAGGAGAGGTCTGCTGTGCCATGTGGGTTGCTCCCTGGCCAGGCATCGAACTTGTGCTGCAGTGGCTGAGGACAGCTTCATAGGTTGCCTCTTAACCCCTTACTCCACCAGGGAGGCCCCCATGTGCAGAATTATTTTAATAATCAGTCTCTTTCTACTTAAGTGGCATTGTAGACCTGTAGCCTTTGTTCGAGTCATTAAATGGACAACAAGCAATTATATAAACATGTACTAACATTTGTCTCTTTGCTTGGAATAAAGGTCGACATGAATGTAAAAAAACACCCCAAAAGTAATAGCCCAAGCAAAATATGTTCTTTCCACTTTCTCTCCCTCACTAACTCCCTCTCATGGAACATTCTAGCTCTCCATATATGTTGATGGCTGAGAGAGCATGAAGTATACAAATGAATGAAAGCAACAGTGTCAACGCAGCCATTATTCTTGGAAAGAAATGTGACTGGTGCATCAAGGAATGAAGGTCACCTTTAATCTTCTGAATTTTTTAATATTCAAGCTTATTTCCGTGTGTCTACACTGCACTTTAAAGCTCTCTTTCCTCTGTGAAAACACCTTTTCAAAAGACATTTAGCAAAACAGCTAGACTGAGCTTTGTAAAATGCCAGGAATTTTTAGAATGGGGGAAAAGTGAAGATGAGGCAGCAAGAACATTTCTCAGATGACGGAACACAAGCTAAAAATTAAAAGCTACCCTGGTGCCAAACTAATTATACTTGATTTATTTAAATTCTCCCAACTGTTGATATGGAGTGACAATGGTGATGCTGATGTTGATGGTATTTTAATACTGAATAAGGTTTGGAAAATATACTTTTGACAATGAACTAAAAATCACAAAGTTTAACAGTTATTTTTCAAACTGATGTTCAATTCTCTAAGTTTCTATAGTTCTATTAATTAATTTATTTATTTTTTTTAAGTAGAAAGGAATTAGAGTTAAAAAATGGAAGCTAACGGGGGTGGGGGGAGGGGAGAAGCTCATGTCACTGTTGGCAAATATAGTTCAGAATAAAATTTAATTAATTGAGCGTGTGGCACTTCCCAAACCGCAGAAGTTGAGTTTCCAATGGCTTCTGAGGGTTTGGGGCATTGAACCTGATCTCATACTTCTCCAGAGTTTGATTAAAGTAGCTCAAGGGCCACAGCTTATGAGGAACAGATCAGAAGCCTTCAGGACAACTACTGCTTAATCCTGTTTCCCTTCTGAAACACAAAGTATTAAAGTGCCTTGTGACATTCAGAAATGAGTAAATCTCTATGCCGCAATTCCATCAACTCCTTAAATCTGGCCTGCTTGACTCCCTCTATGGTTCTCTGCTAGCAGATTTAATTCCACAAATTGAGGCAGTTGTGTTTCAGGTTTGACAAATCATCTTGAAACTTTGTCCTAATCTTTGTTCTCAGCAGAAAGGGATGCTCTGTTATACAGAAAATCAGCAAAGGCAACTGACTCTTCCTGGAAAAAAGCACAGGAGAGTCTGGCTGTCACAGCAGGGAAAAGGTCTGAGCTTGGATCACTTTTGTGAAACCCTGTGGAAGGGTTAAATTCTTTTGTCTTTCTTCAAATATGTGAGCAACCTGTGGTGCCAGGAAGGAGTTTTCTATACTTTTAGAAGTATTTTATTTTTATTCAACTCTCAGTTTTATGTTGATACAATCACAACAAAAATTACATGCTTTATGATAACACGCTAAGTGGGCTGATAGAGACAAACTGGCAGAAGACACAAATGGCCAAATAGACTGAGAACGGATACACCAGTGTAGAGCCAGCAGGTATTAACAGATCAACTGTTTGATGCCCTGAAATGTGGCAAATTACAAGAAATGAGCAGATTCCTTGAAAGACACAAATTCTTGGGCACACTGAGGATGAAACAGCTCATCTGCATAGTACATTTATTGAAGAGTTTACATTTGTAGTTAAGAACTTTCTAGTAAAATACACTCCAAACCTACATGCCCTCACTTTGAGATTCTGTAATATGTGTAAGGAGGAAAGTATGAAAATTTAAAAAAGAAACATTTTAAGGAATTAGAAGTTAAAGAAAAGCATTCTTCTCCTGATTCATGAAGTCAGTAGTGCCCAGGCAGCAAAAGCAGAATAATTACACAAAAAGAAAAGGACAAAGTAGTAGCCATCAAGGGCATATATACAAAATGTGAACAAAACATCCAATCGAGACACATACAAAGACCACATCAGTTCCAAGTGACGGTTACCCCAGAGGGCGGGGCTGGATGGAAAACTGATGAGCAGTTGCCAGGGGCTGGGCTGAGACTCAGGGGAGGCACTGACTGCAAAGGAGCCTGAAAGAATTGAGAAAAAAAAAATTATTGAGATGTGATTGATATAGAATAATATATTAGTTTCAGATATTTAGCACACGGTATTTATTTTTTTTTTTTTTTGAGGGTAACATAGTTTCCAACACCGGTTATGACTTCGAGGTAGAGGATCGCACCTCCTTTGATAGATGTCACCCCAGCACCCCCTCGGCCGAAGCTCCCACCGTCCATCGCCCAAGGTCGGTCGGTGCCTCGCCACTCCGCTCCCCACTCCACCTTCTTCCCCTCCGGCCGCCTCAACTGTGCGGATTTCTGGGACCAAGCTTGTCTGACATTTGCGGTGTATCCGGTAATGGCGGGAAGGCTGCCGAAGGGCGCTGCCTAATTCAGTGCGGCTCCAACGGGAGGGCCAGGGGCCAGGTTCTGGGCAAGGGAATCAGGGCCTGAGAGGGAGGGAGGCTGGGCAGGGCAGACTTCAGAAGACGCTGAGTGACCAGACGGCTTGGTGCAGCCTCAGATGCTCCTCCCTGGGCAGCTGCAGCGGGGGAGGGGGTAAAGGTAGGAAGACCCTGAAACGACTCTGCAGCTGCAGCCGGATCCTGAGCTCATGCCAGGTCCGTGTCTGGACTAGACCGGTTGAAAGGACTCTGAGGAGGGCGGGCGCAGAGAGGTCGGCCTCAGCTCCTCCCTCCAATCTCTCCTCCTGCCCGAAGGACATTTCTTTCTTTTTGTTTGGCTTGAAGGCCCTTGACTATCAACCCCAGCTGAACCCAGATGGGGGTGGGGTGAATGAAGGGTGACGTGCCACTGAAGTCCTTGGTGCAGGAACGACAAAAGGTGACTGCCCTTTGGCTTGCATAGCAGGACAAAGCTCTTGCCTTCACTTTAGGCCTGAAGGCTGACAGGACTCCCCTTGGACAGCAGCCACAGGTGAGCTCCACCCATGCAGACCTGTGCCCAGGGGCCCTGAGGCCAGGCGGGCCTTGTCCTCCTGGACCCCCTTCCAGGCGCGCCCTCTGCACGGAGCTGCTCGGAGGCGGACGGTGTCCCCTGCAGTGACCCTGGGCGGGGGCTGCCAGGGGAAGACATCCTCATTCTCAAGAGCGCAGCCTGCTGAAGAGCTTCGGTAGCCCTTGGCACACGGTTAATGGCGTCTGGGTACCATCTTCGAGCCCGGGTGGGCAGCACAGCGCGCGGGAAGGCAGGCCCCTCCCCAGGTCTCTCCCCTCCAGACCGGCGGGTCTGCGGGCTGGGGCGCCGTGAACTCGGCTGGCGCCTGGGCCCCTTGTTGGGCACGTCTTTGGCAGGCGGCCTAGACGGGCCTCTGGACACGAGGCACGCGAGGACCCGCTCCCCAAGGGCGGGGGATCGGGGCGTCGCCAGCCTCGGGGCGAGGCGCAGGTCGCGGGCTCGGGATGGGGCCAGGAAAGCTTCCAGGGCCGGCCCCGGCCACGTCTGCACCGCCGCAGCTGAGCGTCGGGAGCCCCTCCGGGCGCGGCCTCCGTGGCTCGGGCGCGGTCGTGTCGCCCCCGGCGGCTGCTTTCCGGGCGCTTCTCTCCACTCGGGGCGCCGGGGCGCGGGTCCCCCTCAGGCTTCACCCCGGCGGGAGTCCAGGGTCTCCCGCGCGCGGGCCGGGGCCCCGGATCCCGGGGCTGGTCTTCCCCGGGATCAACCGGCAGAAAAGAGGAGGCGCAAGAGGGGGGGCGACCCCAAAGGGGGGACACTCGGGTTTTACGCCCCGCGGGGCCTTCCGGCAACAGGCGGCGCGGGCGCCCCCCGGCCTCGCCCGGCCCCTCTCCCCGCCCGCGGGCGGCCTCGTGGCTGCCGGGAGCCTCCGCCGCGCCCCCACCGGCCCCCGCGCCCCACGGGGAGGGGCTCCGCGGCCCCCCAGCCCCGCGCCCGGTCGCGGGGGGACCCGCCCCGCCAGATGAAGTCACCGCCCCGCGCGGGCGCCGCGACGAGGGCGCGTCACTGCTGCGCGCCGCGCCCAGGGCGCCGGGTCCGTGGCGGGAACCCGTGGCCGGCTCCGCCGCTGGGTGTCGGGGCTCTCCGGCCCCCGCCTCGCTCGCGGCCACGCGGCGGCCTCCGGGCCGGGACGGGCGGGCGCCCAGGGGCTGGCCTGGCCGCGCTGCCGGGGCCCCGCTGCCGGAGCGCGCGCCCGGAGCCGGCGGGTCGCCGGGGTCGGGCCCGGGGGCGGCGGTCGCGAGGTCGGGGGCCGCGTGGTCGAGGGCAGCGAGCGCTCTTCTGGGGGTGCCCCGCGGGGCGGCGCGAAGGCGGGGAGACTCCGCGCCGGCTCCCCGCCCTTAGGAGCTCCCGGAGGCCGCGCCTCCCATAGCAGCGCCGGGGTCTTGTGTTTGCGGTTTTGACCCATTTGGCGTTAATTTTTTTATCTGGAGTCGGGCGGGAATCCAGGTTCATCCTCGTCCACGTGGAAATCCGTTTCCCCCCTTTTTCGAAGAGAACGTCCTCTCTGCGCATGTGGGCTGCAGCCTCGTCCGAGAGCATGTCCCGCGTGTGCGAGGGTTTCTTCCTTTCTCCTCTTTTGTTCCGTTGGTCTGAGTTTTGATTGTAGTTTTGTTTTGAAACTGGAAAGCATGTCTTCAATTTTGAACTTTGCTCCCACCCCCCAACATTGGGGGTTAGGATTGTTATAGGGCAGCCCCGATATTGAGCGGGTTCCTGGCTGTGGGTCCTCACCCGCGCGCTTACAAGGGCCTTATGAATACTCCACTACAGACACACACAAAAGGTTCATAAAAGGTTTATTTACAAGGGAAAAGGAAATAAGGAAAATGGACAACTCAGGGAGAAAATAGGGAAATAAAGTCTTTAATGCGTCCTACCCGATCAGCTGACCTGGAAACCCAAAGGCACTCTCCGAGCTGGCCCGACCCTGCGAGCTGGCGGAGAGCCAAAATGGGGGACCCCCCCCCCAAAGCCCACGTGTCTGGCTTAATACCAACCTGGCTGCTGAACCCCACCCTCAGGTCCCAGCCACCTTCCCTTGGGTGGGGATGGGATGTGGAGTTCCCAGTGTCTTTGGCTTTGGCCTGGGGTGGGGGTGGAGTCCACAAAGCCTGTATGGAATTAGCTTTAGGACAGCCTTTTTCCCCTAACAGTCTGTGTTTTGATTGCACAATTTTGTTTTGAAATTGGAAAGCATGTCTTCAGTTTTGTACTTTGCTCCCACCCCGCAACATTGGGGGTTAGGATTTCAACATAGGAAGTTTGGGAGACTCCAGTCCGGCCGGAGGTTAGTGGAGCAGCACCTGATGCGCCGCAGGAGACACTTTGGAGCATGTTAAATGCGCAACTTCACGTTTGGATTTTGTATCATTTGCCAGTTATTTTAAAATATGCCAGTCTCATCAAGAAGAAAAACACGGAACTGAAATGGTGTTTCCCTAGGCTTATTCTTTTCTAATAATTTTCAACGTTTATGTGAACCAGAACATATATAACTTAGTTTTTGTAGATCTTCACCTAAAAACGTTAAATTAGAAATAAAGACATAGGCTCTGATTTTGATGTCCCCTCTGAATGAATTCAAAATAGAAATATAGTTGGAACACGTACTCTGAACTTAGCCCTCGAAATCATTAAAAGCTGACATCAAAAATTTTCATTGTGAAAACAAAAAAAAAAAAAGTGATATTCTGTTAGTAAACAGTTACATCGTGGTTTATATTAAGTCTAGCTCGAATGCTAACACTGAGAAATACTAGCTACAGAATATAAAATCCTTAGAAGAGATGAGAGAAAGCGTAAAAGACAAAATGAAGTAAAAAAATTAAGGCTACTTATTTACATGTACAAATTGCATGTAAATAGCTCCTTGTTCATGTTAGGAACCTGGGTGCAAAACTTTATTTTGCTTGGACCCTGAAGGCATAATTGTAATTATCAAAAACTTTGTCAGGTCTGGGCCTCCCTGGTGTCTCAGCGGTTGAGGGCTGGATTGCCAAGCTGCCCTCAGCCTCTGCAGCCCCGGTTAGATCCCGGGCTGCCAGAGAGGGTCCCGCATATCACACATACCTCTCCTACTGCACCCGCTGCTCCTCTCAGCAGTGTGTTTCGTCAGTCTGCCTGTTCTGCTCCCCGCTCTGGTTCTGGTGAATCCTCTCACCCTCCCGCGCTTCTGACTGTACCCAGTGCTTGTATAAATAAATAAATAAAATCTTAAAAAAAAAAAAAAAAAAACCACTTTGTCAGGACTAACTCCAATGCTACGCTTCAGTTTAATTGAAAGGCATAGTCTCTCAGAAGCAGTCAGTGCTAGGATGAATCTTGTTTCAATCTTCAATTTGTTTTTCAATTTTAAAGAAATTTGTTGGGGCATAACAAATAAATAATACATATTAGATTCATGTATACAATGTATACTATGTAATGCTTTGATATCTACACACTGTAAAGTGATCAGTCCAGTTAATATGTGTCTCCTTAGTTATAAATTTTTTTCTTGTGATGAAGACTTAAAATTTTAATAATTTTATCTTTGAACTCATATATATGAAGTCTGATTAGATTATGGAGCCTATGCTCTAGCAGGATATACAGATGATCGGTGTCCTCCATTCCTTGCTGCCTCGTTCTCTATGACTGAGTTTGCACATCTGGGTGTGCACGCACGCTTGGCGAGAGTGGCAGTCTCAGGAGGTCACACTTCTTAACTGAAACTTATATAGATGTGGGAAAAAGTCACTGATGTTCAAGAAACAAAAATACTCCAAAAACCCTATGTTACTCCTTCTTCTGCTACCTTCCCATAGTTGCTAACCACTTATAAAGATTACAAAATGGAGTAAAGAACAATTCATAGTAAGTCCTGCCTTCTGCATCAGTCAGCTACATAGACGATATCCATATAATGTGCATATATTATGATTTGAAATAAATCATTGAAATAAAATGACTTAAATCAAATATATTTTTCTATTATTCACAGATGAAATGAGTTATCTAATTATTTCAAACTTGAGCATGGGAATAATTAATATTACATGTATCACTGACTATACATATATGAAAGATGTATGAATAGCTATTAAATGTTTTCATAATTTTAGATATATCTTAAGATTCTATATAGTATTAAGTATACAATACAATATCAACACAATGACTTTCACTCTGATTCTGGTTAAGAATTTTCAAGATGGAAGATATCCACGGAATTAAGTTTCATATCTTGTGCATGGGGAAATTAAAGAATAGAGCTGTTGAATGAGTTAGGGACATGAGTTGCTAAGAACTGGGGCTAAAAACCAATTGTCGGTCCTGGAGACAGCAGCACTGCTTCATGCTGTTCTCCCTAGAAAAGCTTTTGGGAGGAATTGAAATTCAATATAGATTTTGAGTGTCTCCACTTTTGGTGTCTTAAAGGTTATGAGATTAGATGCTGGCTAAGAGTAAGAATCAATAGAGCTTACAGCCTGGAGGACAGAAATAAATAATGAGAAACTAGTAAACATTGACTTCACTAAGAATGTATTTGCTCATATTTTATGCATCTTCAGTTGTACTTACTAAGAGATGAGCTAAAAGATAAAGATTGAGTATGTAGATAAGTGTATCAATCTGGACGGTACTGAACTAACTGTGTGCTCTTAGAACACGCTCTAAGAAACCTTTAATTTCCTGACTCAGTCCTCACTTAAGCAAGCCCTTAAATCAAAGCCTCACCATGTAGTCAAGAATATCAGCATAATGCTTACCTGCAATATCTACTATAAGATCACAGAAAATAGCAGCACTCGTGAAATTGACTTTTCAAGAAAAAGTATACATTGCCTGATTATTTTAATCTTGGAGTTCTGTGCTTATTAAAATTAATGGAGCTAGGTGGAAATATTTTTGAAGTATTTATCTCATAATTGGGAGCTAATAGAAGAAAAGGGTTACTGGACAAGGCAGTTATTAATTCAGTT